TATCCAGATTATTCAGCAACTCTGAAATTCACTGGAAATTAAAGTGGAAGTTGAGGGTAGATTGATATATCACCCAATTCCACCCTAAGATAACATATAGCAAGTCCTGGGAATATACAGCATGTATTACTTGACTAATGAATACTTTAAAATTACAATGTCTACACACAATAGGTAACACAGGTTAGTAAACTTAACAAAGCTTAACCAGGTGGTGGATAGGTCAGAGAATATTCCATGACCCATGTTTTGTGCAAATTAAGTTTCATTAACTGCATAGATGATGATCAAAAAATGCTCTGATGTAGTGCTTTACAGTTAATAAATGTGTTTAAGCATCAGAAGGGTTACAAGTACACACACAGAGAAGTACAGGTGGGAATTAAATTGCTCACTCAAAACATCCATTTTGCTTTCTCTCAGTTGCACTGCAATGTTCAGTTGAGCACTGCAAAGAGCTAAGCCCAGCAGCCTGACTCACTGGGAAAAGGCCACTAATACTGGCATGCATCCTACAGCTGCCTTGTGTTTGCTAGAACAGAACAGAGAGACAGAAGGATAGAAAGCAGCCCTGCTTCACTGTGGAGTCCTGGCACACTCCCTTAGCTGAGCTGGAAACAGCTGCTGGGTGCACTGTGTAGAGCAGGAGAACACACCTGGACACTCTGTGGTTCTCCTACTGGAAAAACACAGCAGCAGAACCTGTGCACTGGCTAGAAATGCTCACACCTGTGTGTGCCCCCAGCTCCCCACGGGGTGGGAGGCACAAAGCAAATGTGCAAGAACCTGCAGGGGTGGGTACTGGGAGGAGCAGGGGGACAACCACTTGCTGGCCACAGGACAAAGTTTACACCCCTAGGTTTTATCTGTTCTACCACAGCTCCTCAAATGCTGCCTTGTTGCTCATGATACTCGACACAGATCTTCTCAATCTCATCATTCTTCCTGAGTCATTTCCCCTGTTTCCCATGCTGTGCCGTTCCTGCAGCAGAGGTCACTGCGAGGCTCCTGGCTCTCACACTGCCAGCTCACCACTCACCTTCATGAAAGGAAAGCTTGTGTTCTCAGGAAATAAACAGAAATCAGTACCAGGAACTAAGTTTTAGTATCAACAAATGTAACTAGAAAATAAAACAAACCCCAGGGAATAACGCCAGAAGTTAAGCGGCATCACCAAAACTAAGGACACACCACAGTGCCCTACAGTTCACCACTCCCCTTGTGCAACCCAAAAGTAAATGAAGGGAACAGAGCAGGGAAAGACCTTCCTTGTGCCACCTTCTCCTGCCACCTTAGGAGACAGCCAGCTCCACTGCACTGAAAAAACCCACACAGCTCGCTGGGAAGGTCTGAGCTGCCACATTCCCTTGAGGGCAGCTGGTTTTCTCTCCACCTCTAAAAAGTGAATCTGAACTTCTGTCTCTGAAGGAAATTATGAAGCACCTTTGCTCACAGCTTTCTTGCTATAATAAAAACTCTACTTATGAACCAAATTGTCTTCTCTTTTGCATCTGTCTGGGAAACCTTGAGCAAAACAACACAGCTCAGTAAGCAAAGATATCCTCATATGGCTTTGGAAATCAAGTGAAGCACAGAAGGAAACCATGAGAGCTCTATGCTATCAGTCAGACAGAGCACAGAAAGAACAGGGGCACAGCATCAGTTCTGAACTCTCATTTTGTACCTAAAGCCTTCATCTAAACAGATCTGTGCCAGGGTCAAAGGTCCCCTCACCTCTTCTTCACCTGTGGATCCACACAACTTGCTCTAAGACTGAAGACTGAAATCCTTGTCACTACCATTGCTTTGGAAAACAAAAGGGGCACTACACTAAAAATCTTACTGCTTTCTTAAAAAAAAAAAAAAAAAGAAAATCCCTGAGAGTTAGAACTGCCAATAAAAGATCTGCACAGTTTAAAATAAAGAAGAAAAACATTGAAGATGTCTTTTCAAACTGTGATGCAAGAAGGCAAATTGGCAAGCCTGTACATTGAAAATACAGGCAGCTTTTTACCAATATCTTTTGAAAACTAAGAGAATTTAGTTGCGTTTATTCCTTATCCTAACACATTTAAAGGAATGCTTCTGACTGAGGCACAAGACATGAAACAGGGGTAGACAGTCATATGTAATAGCTGCATCTTGATCCTCTTTTTAATAGATCAAAGACATCAACAGCCTTTGTCTACATCTTTATCTATATACTTGTCCCTGATGCTACCACCTGTTACAGAGTTTGCAGACAGAATTCTGTCTTTTTGCTCATTTTCTTTCTCTTCCTTAGGTTACATAATGTAGTTCATTCTGGGAAGAAATCAGACGAATCACCTAAAAATGTATTTAAAGGCATCAACTCTCTACACCACTGCAGACCTCCTCCAAGCCCTGATTCAAAATGTCACACCACACACCCATGCATCATCTCCACAGGCCTGAATAAAGCCCCACAAAGAGCAAGAACACACATTCAACAGGAAAGATATAAAACAGAAGTAACCTGTAGCAAAAAAAAAAGAGCACCTTGTAGTACATTACTGGAGGTCTGAGCTAATACTTTGTTCTCAATGTGCTTTGTCTTTTTGTGCTGCTGGCAAAGGGGACAGGTTTCTCATGGGATACAAATTCCATTCAAACACAAGATAAAAGCAAGCACTGTGCAGAATAGTTATACCTTGGTAAAACTAACCTGGGATAAATGGGTGACTAAAGGAGGTTTTACCTCCTCGAGTTCTGCCTCACGTTGAAAAGTATTCCATTGAAGTTTTGGTTATCAGAATTTTGAGAAATAATAGTATTTTTTTAATGCTTGAGTAAACAAGGAGGTCTTTAATGATATAACAAGACCATATTTAAACTGATAGCAATAATATATAACCATAAAGTTATGTTTGTAACTAAGCTGCTTATATTGGAGGCATCAACTGTGTTAGTACTGCACTGTCTCAGCAAAGGACTGAAAACTGGGCAGAAGGGAACCCCAAAGCCAAGTGCTAGAAGCTGAACCAACCTGAAGCTCTAACTGTTGTCTATAGTATTTACCTCTCCTAATAACTCTATTTCTCAGGAAAATTACAGTATTTTTCTGAATACAGTCCATATCTTAAAGAAAAAGTTAAAGCTAACTCCAGGTTTACCACCAGCTGTCCTCCAGATACAGGATACTTTTCTGAATTACCTTGTATTTTTATGCAGAGTGATTAATAATGATCAAGAAAGGAAATGTGATGGGGATTAAGTGCTTTTATAGTCTCTGTATATCTCCAAACTGGTGCAAAACATTTGCTGCTGGACTGCTGAAGACACCTGGAAGTCAGCAAATAAGCTTGTCTTCACAAGAAGTTTGGAATCTGCTATTTCCATTTGGTTGTATACACATTCCCTCTTCCAAACTACCTTCCAGAGGTAGGCTATTTATTCTTCAAAGCATACCACAGACATGTTGCATAAGTTGGTATTTTAAAACTGTCCTTCAGAGATGATTTGAAGATTCTTCGGGTTTTTTTTAAATTACGGAAACAAAAACAAACCCAAAATTAGGATCTTGCTACAGCACAGGAAAACAGGCAATTCAGTGGATGCAGCTGCTGGTTTATAAGCATGTGCAGAAGTGACTGTTTTATTTGGATTTTGGAGGAACAGCATATTATATGAGACTCGTACAGACATGTTTACAGCCAAAGAAATTCTTCAGTATACTGTAAATTGTGACGTCTGCATGAGTCAGTTGATACTTAAAATTCTCTGAAATCAGTTTTTTTTCCTAAATGTAGTATTTTCCAATATTGTAGCCTAACATAACCCATTCTTGATGTAGTGTGATGCACAGAAACACAGCACCAAAACTTGGATGCTTTGAGAGACACTGAAGAGGCACACAAATTAAAAAAACAAAAATTAAAAAATCAACTGTTATGTGATTTAAAATCCAGCCACTGGATTGACTGATATCACACCCTATTGACTTCCAAGCTTGAAAAGCATAGAGGGATCCATCACAAAAATCAAAACCAATCAATTGATTTCTGACTTCTCTGTCCAGTCTTCTTGCGTGAGATTTTTTAAATTATTTTGAAAGTCAAAGGCACAATTGTCCCCCGTGCTTTGAGCGAAGGGGTTACTAAAGAAAAGGTTTACATCCAGAGGTGCAGCTGTTTCCGAGTCCCAGGAGTCGGTGTCTGTGCTGCTGGAGTCTTCTGTGGTGGTGGGAGGGCAGCTGAGCTGCTCCAGCTGGTCGATAATGTCCGTGATCTGGAAGGCTGAGCTGGACTCGGAGCGCACGGAGTAGGCGGGGAAGTTGAGCATGGAGCTGGCCTCGGAATGGTTGGCAGAGCCGTAGGTGTGCAGGGAGGAGGTCCCGTTCAGGGGCAGGTTGTTGAGGGAGCTGCTCTCGGAGCGGTTGTTGATCAGGGAGCTGGTTTCCGAGGGGCTCAGCAGGCTTTGCATTCTGCTGGCTTGGGCCTTCACCTCAAACAGCTCCGAGGTGTCCGACGGCCTCTCATTGCCGTTGAAATCGCTCCCTTCTTCAAATTCAAACTCCTCTTCCATATTCATATCCACGGCCTCGGTTGAGTACCTGTCAGGGCTCGACTGAGCAGAGACTGAGCTTTGCTGGAGGGCATCTGCAGCTAAACCAGCCGGCTCTGACAGACACTTAGAAAACTCAGAACCCTTTAATTCTAACCCACTGTACACATAGGAAAATGCCTCAGAGCCCCCAGCAAAAAAGGACATTTCTGCTGGGTCATCATCAATAAACTCCTCTGACACCTGTAACTGGGAATTTGTCAGTGTGAAAAGAGGGGCCCCTCGGCTGCCACGCTGCTGCTCTTTTTCAGCAATGAATACACCTGTGGTAAAGTCATCCTCATCATTGTCATTTTTACAACCAGCAACCCTGCTCTCCTTACTACTTCTCACTACATCTACGTCTACACCGCAACCACTCTCAACAACAGGACAAGATGGGTCACAGTTTCCTGCAACACTACCAAACCCAACACCTTGGAGCACGGGAGATCCAGGCTGCTGCATCAGCTTCCTCCCCACTTCTTCCACTGGTGCTGCAGTGGTTTTGTCTGCAATCCTTGTGTATGGTGCTCGGGGGTCCAAGGAGGAAGGGCTGGGCTCAGCAAACATGGGCAGGACAGACGCAGGACTGGTCAAGGAGTGAACCGAGTGGAAGGGGGCAGCTGTTGAGGCAGGAGACCCTGGAGTTCTCAAGCCCTCAGTGAATGGGACACTCTAAAAGGGGACAGAAAAGCAGAGACACAACAGATAAAAAGGTTTTTGTAATACCTAAAAACCAATGTAACATTCAGTTACATCCATATGCAGAAGAAATATATGCTTCACAGGAGCTCACTTTACAACAGACACTGTACAGAACATGATCCAGCAGCCCATGTAAAAGGCAAGACTTTTTTTCCTTAATTGTGATAACTGGATGGAAAGTTCAAAGCATACATTTTATAGCTGAACAAGCATCCACAAAGAAAAACAAAAAAATGACAGTGAAATTCTGTGATGCTTCCTTAACCTCTCCCATGTTAAGAATGCTCTCTTAACACAAGAGCATTCAGTGAAATGATTATTTCTTGCCGTGTCCTGCAGAAGGCATCTTACAACAGCTTTGAGACTGCCAGAGAGCAGTCAGAGAGTAGTTGGAGATAACTAATCCTCTGAAATAACAACATACTAGAAAGTCTAACACTTCCTTTTCGGTTCAGCAGAACTTTGAGTAAAATATTACTCACTTCACACTCCACTGGCCACAACTATCAAATCAGTAACACTAATGAAAAGAACTGTGCAGCAGACAAAGAGAGCATTACAGTGGCAGCAATTTTGGTGAGTTGACTCCTCCACTGTCACCTCAGAAGGCTGTTTGTCCATGGCCCTGACCACAACCACAACCCCAAGAGTGCTGCAGAACTGACCTGCTTTGGCACGTCTGTGTTCGAGGTGCGAGTGGATGCTCTGACCTTGCTGTGCCTCCTGTGGAACAGAGCAGTCTGTCAGCATCCAAGACATGCATCAGCCTCATTCCTTCCCCCATCACTTATGGCCATGCCAGTAGCCAATAGAAACATCTCAAGCTCTATTTTATCATGCTTTGTTAATAACTAGGTCAAGTCTTAAAGGTCAAAAGAGCTGTAAATTAAATGAATGCAAGATAAGAAACGTACAAAAATGGAATAAAGCAAGATCCAGATCTTTCACAGAATCTGAGAACCATTAAAATTGGAAAAGGCCTCTCAGATTATCAAGTCTAATTGTTCCCCCAGCACTAACCATTTCCCCAAGTGCTTTATCTCCACCTTTTATGAACATCTCCAGGGATAGTGATGCCAACACTTCTCTGGGCAGCCTGTGACAGTGCCTGACCACCCTTTCAGTGAAGAAATTTCTCCCAGTATCCGACCTAAGCTTCTCGTGGCACCACTTGAAGCCATTTCCTCTTGTCCTGTCATTTGCTATCTGGGAGAAGAGACTGACCCCACCTGGCTGGTGGGGTACCACTGAAGGAGACTTGAAGAACAACTTGAGCTGAATACTAACTGAACACTAAACAGCACATTTTAGTTTAACTCCATCCTTCTCCATTGTTATAAACATCTACAGAAGAATGGCTTCAGAACCAGAATGAGCTAATAATTGTACAAATTTTTGCAACCTCAGTCAACCATATAAAATTTTGTATGTTAGACTCCAAAAAGTGATATACTGCGTTACACTTTAGATTCACTCTATGTGAATAATTAAATAGAAAATCAGATTTTCAAATAGAAAAGGAGCTCAACTGTAGTCTGAGACATTAGCAATATTTATTAATAGTAGATTAATGTAATTTTTAAAAAATTCCTATTAAATTCTTAGAATCTTTTGGATTAGTAGTAAGTTTCTCATGCATAGTTTGGAATAGGATTTGGAGTAGGAGGAGTTTCCCATATGTAGACTGGACAGCATTAGAGTCAAGTAAGGAAAAAGCAATTTCATAATGAAAACACATATTCTTAATTTACATATTTATATGTTTAGAAAGAGATGAGTATTTTAGGTCACAGTTTCAAACTTGCAGATCCCAAGTTCCATTATGTGCTCTGCCACTGGCTGATTGCACAGCTACAGTGGCACAGGCAGGTCCTCACTAACACAATCTCCAGTACGTGCTGAACTTTCAGACAGCTAAGCCACACATTGTCCACAGACATCCAAACATGGTACCAAAACTTTCCTAAGCTTCTTATAGCATCACAAAATAATAAACTTTTACATTTTAGTTTAGCTACCTTAAATTTGGTAACTGAGAATGAGCCTGCCTTCAAGCAGCATTAAAACACAAATGTAGGCAACAAGGGCACTGTGAGAGTCTCAGTTATGTTTTGCCTTACAAATCTATTTCATCTTACCTTTCATATGGGGTTCTCTTCATCCCACTGTCCTTAATATAATCCACTAGCTGCTTCTGTGTTCGTCCACTGTGAACCCACAGAAGTACAAAGGTTATCAAACACAGGGGAGGAGCATTAGAGAGGAATGTCTTTAGAATACTTCCTTTTGCTCTCATTTTCTAAGGCAAAATGAGTTTGTTCTGTTTCTCCCTACCTGTATCTGAATGATGACCCTCTGGTGAAGAACACTGCTTTAGCCTTTGGCTTTGGCTGGTCGAAGAGCCTAAAGAATGTGTGATACTCAACACAGATTTTCCAGAAGTTTTTACACTCATCCCTACTTCCCAAAAGAAACTCCAATGTGTCTTGATAGGGGCCCTGGGAAAAAAACATAGAAGTTCAGTAGCACCTAAAATGACAGTAAGGAGAAAAGGAAGGCACAAATGTGTGCTAACAAAAAAGCTGAACTCCAGCAAGATGCAGGATTTTGCTAAGTCACTTCTCATCTGCCTTAAAGCAATGAGAGTGATTCTGAATGGAGTTAAAAATTATTTAATATCTGTCAAAAATGTTTGCTTACCTTGAAACTGTAAAAGTGTTTAAAAAGCACTTTTTTAGAAATGTGCTAAATATAAACCACCTTTAGAAAATTCAAAGGCATTTAAGTGAAATAGCTATTTTAAAATATTATTCCTTTTTTAGGAGTTCTGATGCTTTGTCTCCTGGAAATTCAGACAAAACCAGAAAATACTGCATATGTCAGAGTACAATTATCACATGAAATTTTTGAGGGTCTCTTTGTGAGACACATTGCTACCTCAGCAGACAATGTGCCCTGTTTCAGGTATCCTTGATACATGAAATTTTATTATGTCCAAACTTGGTTTTTTTTCCTCTATTTTAATATAAATTAAACACTGAATGCAATCTATTCATCCAGTGTGGAAGCAACAATTTTGATGACATCTGCAATGAAAAACATCTACTGTAAATCAGCTAAGTATGAAAAATGACACTTTTTCTATAGAAAAGATGAAGCAAGAGTAATCACACCATCCTTAAAATTAAGGTACAACAATATCATTTCAGCCACCCATTTCTACCTGAGGTGTATCAGATAATTTTCATTTGAATCAAGAAAGTGGATGCAACTTTTTCAACGGAGAAGTACTGAGAAAGGTTGCACCAAATACTTGGTCTAGTATTTTTTTTCTGTTTTACATTTATACATGTGTAAGCTGGTGTCAAGAATAAACTGAGCTTGAAACACAAAACCTAAAGATCCTAAATTGTGGAGTGAGAAAGGAAAGATTGACATGTGAATGATGCAGCCAAACCTGCCCACTGAGGCTATTTTATAAAATCATAAACTGCAGAAATTTCATAATAAAATGAAGCACAGGTATTTTTTTAACACTGACCATCTATATTACAGTAAAAGTTACACAAACCTCTGGGTGGAGCTTAATAAGGAATCTTTTCCTCTTGAAGCTCAGTTTACGGACCTTGGACCAGTTGAAGGTATTGATTTTTGTGTTACCCTGAATCAAAATGAGAATGATCAAATGTTAGCAAAAGTTTCAGAAAAGCAGAGTACCAAGCAAAATTCTGTTGTGGGTATATAGATGTGAATGTGGACACATCCAGCTGGATTTTTAGTTCTGGTGACAGTATTTCCTTAAACAAGAGAGGCCACTAAGCAGTCTGAGAGGGATTGCAGGACTGCAGTGGCTCATGCACCTCCAAAAGAAGCTGCCCCACAGTGACCAAAGAACAGGTAGGACACAGCTGAGCACCCAAGCAGAAATATTTAAGTAAATCAGCTGCCTCTGCGTTTTGGGGAGAGGAAAACCCTATCATTGCATTCATAAACAGGATTCTGAGCACTGAGTTGCTTCTTTAATACAACAAACATAGTAACACTAATTGGTCCAATTAGCATTCCTATACAATAAGAGCAACAATACCCCAGCAAAAATCCACTGGAATATTAAAATAAGAGAAACCAAACCAAAATTCCAGGATGACAGACCTGTCCCAGGGCTGTTCCAAATGAATTGATGATTTTCTATCACCACACACCTAACTTCAAACAAGGCCCCTCTACTTGACTGTCACTTGGTTTTGATGCTCTGCTCTCTGCACAAGAACAAGCTGCACCGAACAGAATTTTGGGGGCTTAAATTACATTCCTTGACCATAGAACACGTTAAATTTTCAAGACATCAGGAACACCTGATGTTAAAATGAGAGACTTACTCCAAGACATGCTAAATGACATTCAGTCTGCCATCCCTGCCATACCTGGAACACCAGCACACCCATGTGTGAAACTGCCAGATTGATTTTGGTGCCCTCACGGTCAGAGGCAAGGTGGAATCTGATACCATACATCTCCAGTTTCCGGGCAATTTCAAGCACTTGAAAGTCAGATTCAGCAGGAGTTTGACCCCTATAATGAGAAAGAAAAATAAAATTTTTAGAACAATCTGATTCCACCACACTTCCAACATGCTTAACTCTAAACTCTAGCACTAAATGAGAATTTTCTGTCTCATCTAGTTGGGTGGTTTCACTGCATGTTGTTTGTTACACTGAAAGTTCTGGAATGACACAGCTGATGGCCAATGTCAAGTGCATCCCAAGACAGATGCTGAGAAAGATATTAATTAGCTCAGAGCTTTTGCAGTTGAGAAACTATAAAGTTGAACAAATCCAAATTCAAGCCACAGTGCTCCTCCTTCTGCTTGCTTGTGTACACATTAGCATTAACTAAGATAAGAAGTGAGAGCTGGTAGAGTTGCACTGCCAGCAAAACAGAAACAATGCAAATATTGCAACAGAATGACCCTTTTTAGGTCAGGTTTTGGGACCACAAAATTATTACTTTATTACTACCAGGTGCAACACATTCCCCCTGCCATTGGCTGGCTAATTCCCTTCCTGCCAAGGAATCCAGAGAAGGATCTTTAAAATAAAACCTCATCTGCTGTCAAAATTACTCTAAAAACAAGAGGAAGTTGTACACAGACAGGAGCAACTGCTCTGTAAGGGTGCACAAGGTCCAAAACAGCACCACAGAGATTGTTCAAGA